CTAAATCTGGGAATTGGGCACACCACATGCGACACAGAGGAACCACACAGAAAGACATTTAACAGAACAATTTTCTGAATCAGGGGAGATATCTGAACCTTTTTGTCTCATTCTCTTTTGTTATTTTTGTTTTGATAAATGAAATTCTCTGAGCAACATACCTGGATCTGTGTTAGCTACTCATGCAATAAAATGATTAAATATTAGAGAGCATATAAGATACTGTGTGAGAAGTCATAATGGATAAATGTTATGAGTAATCCATTGAGGTATAAGAGTTGTCATTGCTCATTTGATTGAATTCTTTGTTGAGAGTTGCAGTTGATATGTGATGATAATGGAATTTAGATTCTAGTTTGATTGCACAGCCGTGAGGTTTGAGCCTATACAGTAAAAATTTTTTAGAGAGGCCTCACTGTGATAATACTCTAGAACTTGATCTGTTTCTCTGTAATACATGCATGATCTGAAATGATAAAGGCAATTCTTTCTTGTTAACTACTTGGCCAAATAGCTGTCCTGAAAAATTTTCATTGTTAGCCCCTTTGAGCTTTAGCCTGTCTCTTGTTGGATTTCACCATAAACACTTAACTTATCTCCCTGTCAGTATATCCTGAATGAGATTGAAGCGCTAATCATAGAAATTCAAGGAAAAAGTTCACAGAAGTTAAAGTGATGGGAAAAGCAAAAGCTGAGACCAAAGAGAAAAAGAACAAAATGAACAAGTTGCATATCAACGAAAAAAGTATGGAAAGGTCAAGAAGAAGAAGAAAAAGAAAAAGTATGAATAGAAAGGAAAGGACTGAGTAAAATTGTGTCTGAGTGTGAACAACTGAAAATAAATAATTGTGTTTCAATCTCATACACAGTAAAAAGTAGCCACTTTCCTACATATTCCTACCTTAGCCTAAGCCAAGTTACAACCCTGAGAAGACCTTTGGATCTAATTGTGCATGTTTTACATGTTTCTCATCTTTAGGGACTTGAGAACAGGATCAAGCTTATGGTAGTCTTATTGCGCTGATGGATTGAGAGTTGAACCCAATACGCAAGAGTGACAAGTGCAATGATTATCCTTGTAAGAAGTGATCAAACTGGATTCTAATTCCTTATACCAAAAGTGATTCTTGAGATTCTCAACTTGGAATTCACTCATGCATAGCATTATTACTATGAATTTCTTCAATGTAGAAAATTGCATTAGTGACATAAATTCTTCTTACAGAGTTAATCCTTGTTGCGTGATGTTTGACATTATTTATTGCTGGGGACTGCAATGTCTAAATCTGGGAATTGTTTGATGTGCCTTCAGCATATAGATATTTCAGCGTAAAAAGAATAAGGATTTGACAGTAATTCAGTGATAAATAGCATGATTTTAGTGAATTATTGACAATTTAACTTCAGGCACACTTTCACTCTGATTTGATATTTTTATAGGAGGAAAGCATGGAAAAATGACTGTTACAAACAACACTCCACGGCCTTTCATGGCATGAGAACTCAGGAAGAAAAACAACTTGAAGCTATTAGCGTGGATTTCATGCAAATGGCGTGAAAATGAAGAACCACTGCACTCCCACGCTGGTTGCGCCAAGTTGACGCCATTAGCGTCAACTTCAAGCTAATGGCGCCAACTCTTGCCAAAATTCACACCAAGTCGCGCCATTAAGAGAAAGCCCCTGACGTTTCATGCTAATAGCGTGGTTTTCTCGCTATTAGCGCCAAACAAAGCAATCCTCATTAATCGCCCGCGCGGATAACGTGAAATTGGCGCGGATGGCGCGGTCTTCGTGATTTCAGTATCCGATTGAAAATTTGGACAAAAACGAAAAGAAAAATAAAATCTCTCGGGAGATTTTGACCTGATTGAATTGTTGGTTATAAAAAGAGACTCAGAGCTCAAGAAAAAAAAAACTTTTGCATAGAGAAGAACACGAAGGCAGAAGGCGGAGCAAGTTTCTTCTCCAAATTTTCTGGTTATATTATTTCCTTTTATGAATTCTTTTCTAAACATTGAATTGTCAGACATGAATATGTCTGACTAGTCTTTTATGATTGTGGTAAGGGTCACAACCCTTGATGTGAACCCCTTGTAGTTTGGTTAATTTTTATATTTAATTATTTCAATTGCATTTATTTTATCCTGTTCTTCATCTTATAATTCTTCTAGAATTGATCACTCTATTAGGATTGCGAGGGTTATGGTTTTCAATAGGAATATTGAGATTCTAGTTCCTAACACAGGGTAAAATAACAGTTCGTGAATTGTCAGACATGAACTGCAAACGTGGAAAATTCACTGGTTTTAAGGATTAACTTGAAAAGAAATTTCTAAGGGATTAGGGTTCTAATAGGGTTAATAAAGTTAAGATCACTAAGGAATTAGGGCTTAACTAATTAATTGATAGATGGTGAATTGTTTGATCAATGGGTAAATAAATGTAAACATTAATTAATATTACAAAGTGGGGATCGAAAAGGTGTTGGCGTCCTTTACTGCAATAGCTTTTTAAATATTTTTCTCAACCTTAATCTTTTATTCTTAAGTTTTCAAAATTATCTTTTGAATAGTTCTCAATTTTTACAATCACATACATTCTCAAATCAACTTTTATTCATCCAACATGGAAAGAATAGTTAAAATAATTTCGGTGCCTCAATCCTCGTGGGATTATATTCTTACTCATCTTTTATTACTTGGTACGATCGGTGCACTTGCCGATTATACGCAACAATTATGTACAGGCCCAATTTTGGTTATTTTAATTTCACTTTAAAGTGGGGGCGGTGAGGATCGAACTTGTGACCTTGTAGTCACTCAAGCTCTGATACCATGCAAAGAACCTTGGGATACACCATCCCAAAAGCTAGCTCAAAGGGTGAGAGTGCCCAAGGCCTTATAAACTCCACATTAGTTGTTCATACAACCAATGTGGGACTATACATCTCAACAGTATCCATTTGAATGGGAAAAGGGCTTATACCATACTCTCCAAATTTGAAAAATACGATGTTCTTTCTAACATGTTGCATGGGGGAAGAAAGTGTGAGAAGGTGAGACGAAAGAGAAGGAAGGTTGCTGTGTCAAATCCCTATAAATAAGGGAACGTGGTGTGAGATTAGAGAGAGAAGAAAATTTAGGAACCATAAATTTGGAGTTAATCTAATGGTGGCAAAATAAATTGAAAGAGATTGTAAATATAACCCTATTCATTCTTAAAATAATTTGCATATATGAATAGTAAGAATTTTTCTCAACAGAAAACACACAACGTTGAATTTTTTTTTTTTTAATTCATATTAGTGGCTGTCTTAAGTCTTAACCATGGCAAGTAAAATAAACCAGTAGATTCCAATTAGTTTCAAATTGCAAGTTCTTCCTTGAATTTTTATTTTTTTTAATTCATATTAGTGGCTGTCTTAAGTCTTAACCATGGCAAGAAAAATAAACCAGTAGATTCCAATTAGTTTCAAATTGCAAGTTCTTCCTCACACATAACTTCCATGTAGGGATTTAAATGGATCAAATGGTCTATTAAGTGATTATAATTCGGTCTAATTAGGTTAGGTTTGACCGAGCTAATATATTTAGTAAAATAAAATAGACTTGGACCTCAAAAAAAAACTTGTTTAGAAAACATTTCCTTTTACAAAGATTGACCTATACGTCGTATTATTTATTTTAATTAAAATAAAATAAATAATTATTTATATAATTTTAACTAATACAAATTTATTATATATGTATATATATTTTGTAACTTTGATAATTATTAAAGATTCGTAGGCTTAAACATACTAATATGTCTAGGTCATACATTTTGATTTTTAAATATAGACAAGATCAAACCTATAATGTACACCAAATTAATAGGTCAAACCAAGTTCAAAATATTTCATATAAACTTAACCTATTTATGCCAAAACCTAATCTGACTAGCTTATTTACACTCCTACTTCTAGGTATGTCGAAAGGAAATGATCATATAATAATGTTTATAATATTAACAAGCTGCAAATATTATTTATTTTTAAACGATTAAATATATATATATTTATATATATATATATATATATATATATATTGCAATATTTGTTAGAGAGATATAAAATAATTAATTTAGCCTCACCAAATACCTTAAAGTTTTGGGTTGAAATGATGCTTATTATGGTATCGGAGCTTCAATGAACACGAGGTCACGAGTTCGATCCTCATTGCCCCCGCTTTCAGGTGAAATTAAGAAAGCACAAGGCAAACTAAAAGAATGGGCTTGTGTCATGCTTCGAGCCCAAATGGCTCTTGCGTGAGGGGGTATATTAAAGAAATATAAAATAATTAATTTAGCCTCACCCAAAATCTTAAGATTTTGAATTGAAGTGGCGCTTGTCAATATTCATTCTTTCATGTAATCGTCAAATTATGTAACTTAAAAATAAAATGTGCATAAATAATTATGATTTAAGTGATAATAAATTTATTTTCTTTAATTAGAGATCTCGAATTCTAGTTTTAATAATAAAAATAATAATATGGAAAGAGCTGTCCCTAGTATGAATCAATTTAAATCGGTTTGGATATTAAAAAAGAGTGCAGTATTTAACCATGTTGTAATGACTTTTAATGACATATCGTTAATTCTTCTAAAAAAATGATATACCATTGAATAAATAAATAAATAAATATGTAATGTTAATATAACAAGATAAAAAAAAAATTGAGAATAAAAACCAATCAATACTAATCGATAACATATCATCCTTTCCATATTTCAGAACCAAGAATGAATAGTACAATTGCAGCATATCAAATTACAGTAAACTAAAAAACGTTTCCCCATGAGAATCAGAAGTGAACATAACTAAAAAACATGCTCAAGTTCCAAACGGCAGCATTACTTGCCATATAGAAAGAACAGAATTGCTGCAGATTTATTAGATTATTATTATTATTCCAGTGCTTAAATAATATTTATTATATATGAATTGAAGAGAGAGATTTAAGGGCATTTGGGTCCTCCTGACTGTGTCTTCCAGTTGTTGTAGCAAGGGCAAACTTGCTTGTTCCCATATGTACCAGGAGGAACACAGAGGCATTTGGCACAGCATTTCAGGCAGTAAAACATGCATGGCTTCTTGTGATGTGTTGCTGAACAACGGTAAGTGCACTTTGGTTTGCAGTCTGCAGTGTAATTGCACACACACACACACACACACAATTAGTAGTTCCCTTAAAGACTTGGTTAATTAAAGGCTAAAACAGAACTATACAAATTAAGTTTTTTTTTTTTTTTGTTCTAAATTATGGTTTCTTCAATGCAAAATTGGAAGACCCAAAATTGGTGGATACACATTATGATTGAAAATACCTGAAGGGCGAAGTTTTGCTAGTCCATAAACCTGCTCAAGCATTACACATAAAACATTGGGAGAGTTAAAACAATTGGATTCTTATTTTGAAGTTAAATAAATTGCATGCATACGCTTTAACCATAATATGAATAATAAATTACCTTAGTCACATCAGAGAACGTAACCAAAAGAAGCAAAGAGAGAATGACCAAGATTGAGTACGGACGACCTGCCATTGCTGTGAAAAGCGAAGAGCTCACTTTCTTCTTAAAGAAAAGATAAACAAAAGGAATGACTTGAAAAAGTCAATTACCCTTCTCTCACAACAGTGTATGGAAGATGAGTGAAGCAACATAGGGAATTGAGTCTGTATTTATAGGAATCAAGGAGTAGCTTGGAGGTTAATCAAAATCTAGGATTGAATCCTTTGCATTTTTTAGGTGCATGTTAGAAGAGAGAAATATAAAAAAGTGTAAAGTCTCTTTTTGGAGTACTAACAAAAAAATATGGTTCTCATTTTAGTCTCTTAAAAAAAAATTAGTGTGGAGGTCCATAAGAATTCAAAGTGGACCCATTTAGTTGAAATTGTGGTCCCTCACAAATTCAAAAAAAATCGGCATCAGCCTCTCAAAAGGACTAAAATGGGTCTATTTTAAATTTCATAGAAATCAGGTGACCAATTTTATTGTTGTAAAAGATTAAAATGAGTACAGTGTGTTTTGAACAAAAGGGCTTTACTTTATAAAAAATTAGGATCACGATTGAAAAGATACACTCATTCAGGGATTAATGTACACATCCATTCATGACGAAATGACACATATTTTCAAATTAAACTTTTTATTTATAAAAAAATTAATTCCAACAAACACATCTTTCTACTCTCAAAAAAAAAAAAACAAGTAATCTAATTTCATCATTAAAATACCAAGATAAAAAAAGTGTTGTAAGATTTTTTTTAAGGCAAGGGGTGAGAACATACAAACGATGCTTGACTGAGAAAATAAGCGATAAAATCGGCATGTTTGTTGCTTCCTTTTTATTCGCTTTTTGTCAACTAGGTAACATGCTGCTAATTGGTTTATTTTCTTCTTTATGGCCACAATAAAAATTAAGAATACCCCTACAGAGTTGTGGAAAATAATTGTGTAAGTGTAATCAATAATATTAAAAGGTTGTTAGGCGATTATATAATTGGATAAGAAGTCTGAATTTTTTTTTGATTTCTTTCTTTTTTATAAGTTCTTATAATTTAAAGCTACAATCCGAGTACAAGCCCTCACGTTGTAAGGGTGCACATGTGAGTGAACATGGGCTTATTGTTGAATTCGTTGATTTATATGAATTAACAACTACTATATGATTAACATTACGTATTGATCACATGCAATTTGACAAACCTTATGTATAAATTTTCCAGCATTTTTTCATAACTTATGAGCTAGTTGTACTTCATAAAAGAAGATTCTTAAGGTTAAGTGTTAAATTAACTACATCATCATATCAGATTTCTGCATAGCCTTGTAATAGGAGTGTTCATCTACCAATCCAAACCGATTCAAACTGCGGTGACCGAACCGGAAAACAGATAACCGAATAAACTGAAAATCGAAAAAAAATCACAAATTTTAATGGGATTGGATCAGTTTTCGGATTGGTTAATGAAAATCGATCCAATATATTAATTCCCCTCTACCTACTTGGATCTTTCCCGAATCATAGCCCAAAAATTTCTAAACCTAAGACCCATTAACCCATCAACTAAACCCAAGAAACAATTTAGTCACGTCTCATCAACAAAATTTCATCTATGTAGAGCTTAATATCTCATTGCAAAAAAAAAAAAAAAACTATATTATAGTTTGATGCTTTTTCATTTCAACAAAAAAAAGTTGCAAAGTCAATATATACAAAATAAGTTATTTGTACAATAATCATGAAACAAATTTTAGGATTTTCAAAAAACTTAAAACCGATCCAATTCAAACCGAAAAAAATTGGATTGTATCAGATCGGATTTAAAAAAAAAATCCAAATAGAATAGATGATTACATGATCAAACCAAAATGATTGAATCAGATAATTTTTGCTTTCAAAATCGATTCAATCCAGAGCGCGAACCGTTACGAGGAATCCTAATTGTTCACCGTTTATTATCTTTCTCGGTAAGTAAGCTACTAAAACGAATTTCGGCAGTTAAAATCCCATTGAGCACGTTGTCAAAGCTTTCTATAATTTATGGCGTATTTATTTTGCCGACAGCAAGGGAGCTTTAATTCAATCGAGGCCATGATTTATGCCACTTAATGTGAATGTTTTAAATGGGTCATTCAGTTTTCAAATAACAATGCCACCCATATGAGCAAAAATCTTGGAGACAGGAGAGCATATAATGTTTGAAATTCAAGGGTAAGTAATAAAAAAAAATTATACCAGAAAAGAATGAACTAAGTATAATGTATATAAGTGAAATGATTCGATGAATTTAATTTCTTAAGGTTTTGAGTTAATAACTTTAATTAGAACTTAAAAAAATTCTAATAAAAAATTGTAGAATGAATAAATAAAATGAAAAACGTTCACCAAAAAAAAATGAAATGAAAAACTTGGATTGGGTCAATTTTTATATCTAGATTTAAAAATACAGCCATTCAAAATCGAACCAAAACCGGTGTTTTAAAACCCGGAGGTAACTCGATGAGGGTATCGATTCGAGCTGTTCATTGGATCGGTCATGCAGTTGAATCGGGTCATGCAGTCAAATCCAACCTCTGAAAGTGAGTAGTGTTATCACTTATTACTAGACTACTTCCAATTGTTAGTCACAGTGCATCTTATAATATATATTATATAATTTACTATAAATTGAGGACAAAATATTCCACCTTTGACGGAATCGAACCCAGCCTATCAGAATGAGTAGAATTATCACTTATCACTAAACTACCCTTGATTGGTCAAAATGCACCTTACAATATATTTATTATATAATTTAATATAAATTTAATTAAACCGATTGAACCAGTGACCCACTGATAGAACAAATGACCTAGAGACCTAGTACTTATGGTGTAAATGGGCTAGGCTAGCCTGGCCTGGCCTACATCCCGGCCTATGTTGAGCTTGGCCTTTCTGAAAAAAGTTGAGTATGCTTAGACTTATAAGAAAGCTTTTTTAACAGATAGGCCATAGGCCAACTTTGTCAAGCCTGGCCTAAAGCCTTGTAGGCTGGCCTATTTAATTTTTAAAATAAAATATTTATTCTAGGTGGCAAAGTACCAATCCTAATTTCTTTTGTGCATCGCCGCTTATAACTAACTTCTCACTCTCGTCTCTAAGCGTCGTCTTTGGTTGACCCAGTAATTGTATTTATTTCTTATTTTCTCCATTTCTTTTACTCTAATTCCTCTCTGATATACATTCTAGAGCTAGGGTATTATATTGACTCTTTCTTGTTTGTCATTTTTTATTTCTTACGAGAAGTATTAGTGCATGCATGAATGGAATTTCCTTTGCTCTATACAATTATTTTCTTTGCTCAGTATCTGCAATGGGAGGCCTACAAGGCTTGTAGGCCATATCAGGCTTTCTAATTTTTAAAAATAGTCAAGTTTGGCCTATAAACAAAGCCTTTAATAGCCCAATAGGCCAGCTACTTTTTACGTAGGCTTAGGCTAGGAATGTCAAAGCCCGGCCTAGCCTGGCCCATTTACACCCTTACCAGTACCTCAACCAAGTCTATGAGCGGGCTGAGTTTTAGAACACTGATCAAAACTATATATCTATAGACATGTATATTTAGAATAATATTTTACTTAACCCCCCGGGGTAACTCACTTGGAAAGTGAGTGCTCAAGGGTTCAAACCTTGGCTAAAGCAATTCCTTGAAATTCTTTGAGGTCAGAGGGCTACTACCTCCCTATTGAAGAGATATTAGTGTCACCCTTCCTCCATTGACAGTGGTTCAATGTACCATGTGTTTCAATGAGAAGCTAGCTTTAGGGTCGTACTCCGAGAGCAAGGTGGACGGAGGAGGTTGAGCGGGGATACCTCCAGGTTACATGCCATATATATATATATATATATATATATATATAGGGGTTTATGAGTGTCCTGTAACAGGATTTTTGCTCTCTTTCCGGCAGACACATTTAACGGTGGGGTCCAGGTTTAAAAAAAACAAACAAAAAATTGAATCACACTATTCGATGTCTCTATAGCATAATATTGTTGGAATTTATATATATATATATATATATTGTATAGACAATCTATTGGTTATGAATAAGAAGTTTGGTAGTGAAAAGGTGTGCCTTTTCGTCGACAAACAGATGTATCTTTTCATCCTAAAGGATGTGTTGTTTCATCCTAACAGACATGTTGTTTCATCCTAACGGACATGTTGTTTCATCCTTGAATGGGTGTCTTTTCGTGTCGAACGAATGTGTCTTTTCGTGTCGAACGAATGTGTTGTTTCGTCGTCGAATAGGTGCCTTTTGGAACGTGACTTTACGTTGTCTATAAATAGACACTGACACCTTCAGAAAATGGATCCAATTTTTCCTGCACTGAAACTCTGCCGGAAATTTTCTCCTTCCGGTTTGCATATTCTTGTTCATACTCCGGTGTGATTTCCTCTGGCATTTTGTTGTGTTCGTTTGGGCTGTTGACTGGTAGTGCCGCCACTCTTCAGACGAAATCCGTTCTATCCTGGGAGACAAGTGTCCATCAACCTTTGGCATCAATGAGGGGGCAAATTGTCTTAAGGAGACACGTTCTGTGGGCTCGGATTTAATTCCTCTGATACTGCATTTTTCATTCTTCTGATTCTGTCTGTTTCATACATATCAAGTAAGTCTGTTTTTAATATTTTTTAATTGCACAGTGATAATTCTGATCATCTACTCCCTTCTGATTTATTCATGGGTTCAAATCTTTTAGTGATATAATATCACTCACTGTCTTCAATAACAAATATAAGTACACTTGTTTTTCCCATATATATATATATATATATATATATATATATATATATATATATGTAAAAGAAGTTTTTATACTATACAAACTTATTTAGGAACTTTCCTATTATAACTGAAGTCAAATTTAAATTTCTTATCTTACATTTAAACATATATTGTAGGATTTGCAATTATTTTGAAATTGTCTTTAGAATTTAAATTTGTGTCTTTATGAATTTATTTGAACTTGTAGTTTAGACTTGTGTTTTAGGAAATTTGATAAAATTTAAGTTTTTATGTTACGATGAATTTATATATTAAAAAAATCTAACTAAAAAATGACTCGATTCATATCAATTAGATTGAATTATATCCACTTTAAATTTTAAACCAAACCAATTTGATGATATTATAAAAAAAAGGCGGTAGATTACTTGCCACTTGGGCTTGTGATATAATTACAAGTAACAAGTATAATTATGTGTCGCACGAGTAATTTTAAATTTAGGTAAAATATAAAAAATTAATTTAAAAGATACAAATATTTAAAATTATAAAAAGCAATTAATTTAATATAATTTAAATTTAAATGAAAAATTAATAATAAAATGTATCATTAAGATACTAAATTACTCTTATTAAATGTACTCTAATTTAACATAAATTAAGAATTAAGATCTGGAAACAAAAAAGTGTTTTTAGTAAAGTCACAAGGTGGATAAATGTGGCCTTCGTTCACGTGACAACTCAATCACTTTTTTGGTGCTTCTATTTGAAATGCAGAACCGACTGTTTACAATTTCATGTATTTGGCGACCCAGGTTTTTCTAAAGTATCATATGTTTCTACAAGCATTTCTCCTCCTGTTATTTTTCTTCTAAATTTACAGCACAAGTCTGCAGCTTGAAATTTCATTTAACATAATATTATTATTTAGTCTTTTATTATTGATTTATTTATCTTACAATATATACATACATATATAAAGCAGTATCTTTTTAGGTTAATTTAAAATTTAACTTAATTTCTTATCATTTTATATCAATTTATTATTAATATATTATATATTATTAAAAAAAGTAGTTATTTCAGATTCGACCACAATTTAATCATGATAGAACTATGTATAAAATAAATAAATAAAATAATAATTATAGAACTAGAGAACCATAAATCAGTGTCTTCATCGATTTAATGACCGGTTGAAAGCATTGCTTGAAACATGAATGATGAATAACTGCCAAATAATGATAGGTCAATTGTCACATGAAAATTGAACAGGTAGAGATGAAAATATGTATTAAATTCTCTTTTGGAAGAAATTTAAAGCCTTAATACACAATCTAACTAGTTAGTATATTTACTCATCTGCCGAATTAGAACTTACACAATCTAACTAGTGATCAGTGCCATGTCAAGGCCAGAAAGTATATTACTAATGACAATTATTTGATTGTAATTATGTAATTATTGGAAGCTAAAGAGAACCAGGAAGGTTATTTCCATTTCTTGAGAGGAAATATATTTGTCGCAGAATGCTACAACGAATGAATGTAGAAGTAAAAACAACAAAACAAACAATAAACGCCATTTTAAACAAACACAAATTTTATTGGTAATCAATTCTTCAAACAACCATTCTGTGCGAGCATAAACTTTACATAGATCATCAGAAATTCTCAGATTCTGGCTTTGAAAAACGAACTAGTTATCAGAAATTCTCTGATTTCACTGTTGAAACTTGTCATGGGGTCAACGAAGTACCATAGCCCAGACTTCTTTAAACATAAGATTGAATACTAACAAGAATAATAAGTATTGACAAACTACTATATAAGCATGCTAAATTTACTGTAATTATTAATTACAAATCACCAACCAATAGGCACTTGAATGATGCGCTAAACGGGTCCTTCTGAACTGCATATCAATCAAGTGCAAGTGATTGTCATAGGCATTGTCTACGCAAGAAAAATTCCTAAACCTAAATGCTAGTATACTTCCCAAAGTGAGAGAACAAATTAAAGTAACACCATATATTTGAAATGCTAAAACCATTTTATGTATCAAATTTCTTTACACTTGCAGATACAGTTAGATACTTGTTAACGCTGATTAAGAGAGTTCTCAATTACCAATCTCAAACGCATAGCAAAGACATCAAATTCCAACGCTCGCTGCTCCCGCCACCGCTTCCCAAAACCCTCCACATTTTGAGAACAAGAACAGGGAAACCCTTGCCAGAAAAGCCCCATCTTGGCCTCTTCCACACATTCATCATACACATCAAGAACGATTTTTGAAGCCACCCCACCAATTTTCTCGTGACTATAACCAATACCCATTTCCCCATCATCGCTGATTCCAAGATTAGGGTTCTTGCCAACAACATTGACTACCCCAATTGCGTCGTCGTCTTCAAACTTCATCTTGTTGAAGGGCGAAGTTGAAGCGAATTCGGGGCTCCAGAGCTTCTTGGAGAGATCGTAGAGCTCTCGATCGTGCGGCGACAGCGCGGTGGCGGCGTCGAGGCCGCGGCGTAGGAGGCGGGAGGAGATGGCGCGGAACTTCTTCCGCAACCGGCGAAGCTTCTCGGAGAGCTGGGACTTTGTGTAGGGTTGCGACATGGCGGTGGAGAAGCGGTGGTAGAAGAGGTGGAGGTCTCTGGGGAAGAGAAGGCCGTCGGAGGCGGAGTCGAGGAGGCCCCGGAGGAATCGGATTTCGTCGGGCTCCGTCCAAATTCGGTGGAATTTGAATGGCGGTGGCTTGACGACGACGGCGGTGGAGGGTAAATTGGGGTTAGGGTAAAAAGAGGGATCTTGGGAGGAGGGAAGGGTTTTGCGTTTAATGGGTAGCTTGGATTTGGAAGAAGTGGCAATGGTAGAGGATTTAAGGGTCAGAGGTTGAGGAGATTTTGAAGGGTTTTGGATAGTGGTGGAGTTCATGGCTAGGACTAGGAAGAAGGGACTTTGAGGCTTGAGGGTATGGTTGGGGTGTGGTTAAGTTTCAATTGGGAGAGGACTGTGCAAATTGGGTGTTTACTATTTACTGCAGAGTTTTTTGTTTGTTGGTTAGGTTTGGAACTTTGGAGTGAGGTTAAAGATTGAAGAGATTACATAAGAAGAAAAAAAAAGGGGGAGGAGTCTTCCATTTGTTAGGTGTGATCACAACTTTGGTAAGTTTAGAAGAAACTTTTTGTTTTCTTTGGGGGTTAATTTTGTGAATAAATGTTGGGATAATGATATTTGAATGATGTTAGTTAAGTTTAAAAGATATAGTAAATGGACAAAATATTTCTCATTCTAAATGATATAATCTGTATTATTTCATAAATATAAAGAGGTGAGATTTACATTTTTTTTTAATTGAATGCATATCTCTTTGTTTTTATGAAATGACATAATTTATTTCATTTAAAATCACACTTTTTCATAACAAATATATACTGTCATTGAATTTTATGTAGGTATGAAGCATGTTCTACAACTCTACCAAGTGAATGGTCTCCGACGCTTCAGACTCCAGATGATAGCTTTAAAATTTGGCTAAATTTTGTTTGATGTTTTGAATTTATTAATCTATTTTTAAATTTGTTTAAATTAAAAAAAAAAAACTTAACATATTGATTGGGGTGGCAAAACGTGTTAGCGGATCGGGTTCATGTCTTGTCAAATCTGACTTGCGAGTCAAATTGTTGAACCCGTATATGACTTATTTTTATTTGTGTTTCAACAATTGAAACCCGGATACGACCAGCCGTGGGTTGCATGTAGGAGTGTTAACGGGCCGAGCCGAGCCGAGCTTTGGTCTTAAAAGGCAAAGCCTGTGTTTAAATGTGTCAGCCTGACCAAGCTTGTTATCTGTTATGAATATAATTTCAGCGTATGGCCTGTCTTATTTACAAAAAATAAAAGTCTGATTTAGCCTCTTAGCCTGTTTAAAACAAAATAAGACAACAAAAATTTATCCAAACAAAATATACAGTCAACAGCATTAGTAATTTCATAAATATTCATAAATTTAATATATATCCAAACAACATAATATAAAATAAAATCATTCAAAAAATCTATTTAATTAATAAAATGGGATGAAATGGATTGAGGAAAGAGAGAGGGCTATCACAAGTAGTATAAAAAATATAAAATAAAAATAAAAATTAATATATTAGGCTAGCCTGAGAGGCTCTAAGGCCGAGCTTTTAAATTGGCGTCTGATGCTTTTTTATTAAACGAGCTTTTATACAAGTCCAAGCATTGTTCCAACAATCAATTTTAGACATAAAAGCTAAGGCCTTCACAAGCCGAGCCAAAGACCCCTGTAAGGCTCGTGGCTCGTTTAGCACCCCTAGTTGCATGTCACACGGGTTGACTAGCAAATATTGATAATTTGATTTTTTTTCTATATAAAAACTAAAAAAAGAGGAAATAATAAAATATGCTTGACCCATGATTTGCAATGAGGTTTGTAAAAATTACAAATATTTTAATTTTTTATTTTTTATTTTTTACAGATTTAAACGGTTGACTGTTTGGAATAAAAAGTATAACATATTAATCAAATGTCTAACTTTCATTTCAGTAACTAAAAAACAGTGAGTTATAAATTGAAATGGTTAAACCTTCATAAAGGTGTTTGTTGTATTATAATTTGATGTTAGATGGGTTTCCGCATGTTGTGACCCAGCCCACCAGGGCACAACCCAAACGCACGCGGATCAGCCCAAAACACTTGGATGACTACCTCACATGATCCAAGCCCAGCATTGCAAATTGTTCTGGTTTAAATTCCAATAAACATGCAGCTTAACTGTAATTAGGAGATTAGTTATTCCTATCCCTATTTTTAGGATTTGTTATTTCCCTTCGTAATTTTAGGATTGGTTGTTTCAACAACTTTCGTTATTTGAATTCTAGATTAGGATGTGCACTTTCTTTAAATATTGCAAATCAAACCTCAATGAGAAATAGAGTTGTTTGACAATTTTCTTATCTCCCTCTCTTCCCAATCCTCCCCGATTCGTTCTTTCTCCTACTTCCCCTTCATCCTCCTACATTTGGTGCTTTCATTCCTGAACTTACCTCCATGGCTGAAAAGACTACCCGCATGGCCCAGATGCAAGAACAGATCACCACTGTTGAGGAACGGCTAACTACGTTCATAACATTCGCAAATGAGGACCGGCAAACCTTCATGATGCAGATGCAACGCTCCAACCAGGAGCAACTAGACCACAGGTTCGATCAGTTCCAGCGCGAAATAACCGCTATATTTGAAGCCCAGCGCAACAACCAACCTACAGGTAGCGTTCTTGGACCAGGTCCAACACGTACAGATCCGAACCGGCCAAAACCGGTCCGCCTTGTATTCCCTCGGTTTGCCCAGGGAGACCCTACAGACTGGTTATTCGCAGTGGACCAGTATTTTGAATATTAGTGGACCAGTATTTTGAATATTATTCAATCACAGAACCGGAGAAGCTCCGTATGGCCGCCTTCCACCTAGATCCACCAGCCTTAAGCTGGTACCGCAATCTGTCCCACGAGAGACTAATTGCAACCTGGAGAGACTTTCAGACAGCCATAATCAGCAGGTATGGCCCAACAGTTTATGAGGATCCAACAGGAGCATTATGCCGGCTGACCCAAACAGGATCGGTCCGTGAATACCAAGCAACATTCGAAACTATGTCAAGTAAAGTACACGGCATAACGGACGGCCTTCGAAAAAGCATGTTTATCTCGGGGCTAAAACCAAAGGTGCGTAGTGATGTTCAAGCACATTTACCCGAGACTTTCCATGCCGCCTGGGGCCTTGCACGAAATTTCGCAGAAGCGGAGGATCGCACACTACGGTGGGGACAGCATAACCAATCTAACACCATCACTCAACCCGGCAAACCACCAACACCCCAGTCAACTTCCGTACCAATACGGCGGCTCACCCAAACAGAAATGATGGCACGAAGAGAAAAGGGTCTATGTTACAACTGTGACGAACGGTATGTTTTTGGCCATAAATGCAAACCAGGTTCTACCTTTATGTGCATACTAGTAGATAACGATGAAGAGATTGCGCATGCAGAGGAAAAAGAGGAAGAATCTATTCCGGACATCCCTGCGTATCCAGAAATCAGTTTCAATGCCCTCTTTGGTCACCACTCAACCAAGGCATTTCGACTAACAGGCACTGTTAAAGGCACAGCTGTCCAGATACTGATAGACAATGGCAGCACCCATAACTTTATTACAGAACGCGCTGCAAATCACTTGCACTTACCCATCCAGTCCATCAACCCATTCAAGGTCCAAGTGGGAAACGGGGACAACCTATACTGCAAAGGGATGTGTACTAAGGTTCGTATTACTCTCCCGAATCAACACGGTTTTGAAATAGTCCTTTTTGTGCTAGAACTTCAGGGCGCCGATATTGTCCTAGGCATACAGTGGCTATCAACCTTGGGACCAGTCATAACAGACTACCAAACACTGACCATGACCTTTACCCACCACTCCAAACCCATTACTCTTCAAGGGAATACCAGTCTAACACCTTCCGCAATTACCAACTCCCAATTACACAAACTCATAGCCCAGGAACCAATACAGGCATATCTCATGTGCATGACGGCATCAACTCCCCAACCACATACAGACCCAACCCCTACAATCCCACACACCATCTCACCCATCATAACCAATTTCCAGGACGTATTCCTCAAACCCACTAAACTCCCACCACATAGACCAACAAACCACCATATCCACCTTCTCCCCAACACAAAACCAATACAGGTACGACCTTACCGGTATCCACATTACCAAAAAAATGAGATTGAGAAGCTGGTCACAGAGATGACGAAAGAAGGAATAATACGCCCAAGTAATTCCGCCTATAGCTCACCGGTCATACTAGTAAAGAAGAAAGATGGAACGTGGCGCTTTTGCGTTGATTATAGAGCCTTAAATGCAATCACGGTGCAGGACAAGTTCCCAATTCCTACCATAGACGAATTATTGGACGAACTACATGGAGCATCAATTTTTTCCAAACTCGATCTACGGTCAGGCTACCACCAAATACTCATGGATGCATCTGACGTTCACAAGACAGCCTTCCGAACACACCATGGCCACTACGAATTCCTCGTGATGCCATTTGGGCTATCCAATGCACCATCTACCTTCCAAGCTACTATGAATGAGGTTTTCTCAGCTTTTTTAAGGAAATTTGTGGTAATTTTCTTTGATGATATCTTAATATACAGCGCAACACTGAATGCACACAAGGAACACCTACTGACGGTCTTATCCACTCTACGGAAACACTCATTTTTTGCTAAACAGTCTAAATGTTTGTTTGCCAAAGAGAAAATCCAGTTTTTAGGCCACATTATATCTGGGAAAGGTTTGTCACCAGACCCGGAAAAAATTAGTTCAATCACAAATTGGACACAACCTAAGAACGTGACTCAGGTACGGGCTTTCCTAGGCTTGGCTGGATATTACAGGCGATTTATAAAACATTTTGCCACCATAACTGCTCCTCTATCAGACTTAACCTCTAAAACAGAATTCAAATGGGGAGACAAGGAGTCTGCGGCTTTTGACAAGTTGAAGCTATTACTCACCACAACACCTATTCTGATTCTACCCGATTTCTCAATTCCATTTATCTTAGAGACAGATGCATCAGGTGTTGGAATCGGAGCAGTATTAATGCAGCATGACAGACCTATTGCGTTCTACAGCAGGAAACTATCCCCGGCAATGCAGAAGAAATCAACCTACATACGCGAAATGTTTGCTATTACTAGTGGCGTTGCAAAATGGAGACAGTATTTATTAGGAGCTACCTTCATCATTCGAACTGACCATAAGAGCTTGTTCCACCTGATGAACCAAGTCGTTCAAACCCCAGAACAGCAACAGTTCCTGTCACAACTTATGGGTTTCTCATACACCATTGTCTACAAACCGGGAAAAGCCAATGCAGCTGCAGATGCTTTGTCTCGATTTCCAGAATGAGGCACTGAGTTACCTCACCCCCAGTTTGCCACAATCACAGGGCCAACATGCAATATCACACACATTCTGCAGCAGGAATTAAAGAAAGACACCTACGCTATTACAGTAATCCAGGGCCTTATTACAAAACCAACTAAATAGGAAGCATGGAAAATAAAAAACGATCTGCTTTTTCACAAGTCCAGAATTTATATTCCGGAACAATCCACTCTGAAGGAGAAGCTGCTCCACGAGTTCCATAGCTCCTTACAAAGGGGACATTCAGGGGTCCAGAACACGTTCCTACGCATCAACACAGTTTTCACCTAGAAGGGATTGAAGAGAGATGTTAAGAATTTTGTCACACATTGTGAGATCTGCCAGAAAGTGAAACCACAAAACCATTCCCCGTACGGGCTACTGCAACCCATAACACCACCCAACACTATCTGGACCGACCTCAGCATGGACTTTATCACCCATTTGCCTAACTCTAATGGTTTTAGTGTCATTTTTGTTACTGTGGACAGGTTATCGAAAGGAGGACACTTTGTACCCTTATCAGCCAACTTCACAGCAGTACGGGTTGCAAAAACATTCTGAGAATCTACCGGGAAGCTCCATGGGTTTCCAAAAACCATCATCTCCGATCGGGACCCGGTCTTTCTCAGCAACTTTTGGCGAGCACTGTTTGAACTTCAAGGCACAAACCTGCGTTACAGTTCAGCATATCACCCGTAAACCGACGGTCAAACTGAATGCGTAAACAGGTGTCTAGAGCAGTACCTTAGAGCCTTCATACACGAGAACCCGAACCACTGGTCACGAATCTTGAGCTTTGCCGAGTTTCATTTCAACACCTCCTTTAACAGATCGACGAGTTATACACCATTCGAAGTCACATTTGGTGTTCCCCCACCGAACTTGTTAACATACTATCTCGGATCAAGAACCTTAGAAGCCATAGACACAGATCTGTCACACAGAAACAAAATAATGGAAAACTTGAAGCAAAATCTAAATCAGGCTCAGATAGCAATGAAGGCTTACAACGACAAAAAACGAAAGCAATGGGAGTTCAAGGAAGGAGATCTGGTTCTACTTAAACTACAACCTTACCGACAGATCACCGTCCAGAAACGAACCTCTCAGAAGCTCGCACTCCGGTACTACGGTCCATTTGAGGTGCTGCAAAGAATCGATTCCGTAGCCTACAAACTTCAATTACCAGAGTCTTCAAGGATACACCCGGTGTTTCACGTTTCCCTACTCCGACCGTTTGCTTCGCCAACCTCGTTCAAAGTCCACCCACTTCCACCACACACGAAGGATAACAAACCACTTCACCGTGCAGTAGCTATACTCGGCGAAAGAAAGGTTTGGAAAAAGGGGAAGCTAGTTAAGGAGGTCCTAGTCCAGTGGACCGACAGTGCACTAGAAGATTCATCGTGGGAAGAAGAAATGGCACAAGATAGCGACGAAGAGGAAAAGACGAGACAGAGAATGGATGAGGAAACAAGGCAAAATGACGATAAGTATTCATCGTCCAATCCTTTAACGCACGCCTCGGACATAGCAACCAAGGCAATTATGACAAAGCAAGGTCATCATGACACTACACCTGGAGACGCAGCCCAACGGGCAGAAGATAAGATTGGCTCCACCACGCGGCACGCTCCCAGTGGACGGCAATCCAATGCAATTCCCATCCATGCGGACATGGATAATTCAAAAGGGGTAGGTGATGTTGTGACCCAGCCCACCAGGGCACAACCCAAACGCACGCGGATCAGCCCAAAACACTTGGATGACTACCTCACATGATCCAAGCCCAGCATTGCAAATTGTTCTGGTTTAAATTCCAATAAACATGCAGCTTAACTGTAATTAGGAGATTAGTTATTCCTATCCCTATTTTTAGGATTTGTTATTTCCCTTCGTAATTTTAGGATTGGTTGTTTCAACAACTTTCGTTATTTGAATTCTAGATTAGGATGTGCACTTTCTTTTAATATTGCAAATCAAACCTCAATGAGAAATAGAGTTGTTTGACAATTTTCTTATCTCCCTCTCTTCCCAATCCTCCCTGATTCGTTCTTTCTCCTACTTCCCCTTCATCCTCCTACATTTGGTGCTTTCATTCCTGAACTTACCTCCATGGTTGAAAAGACTACCCGCATGGCCCAGATGCAAGAACAGATCACCACTGTTGAGGAACGGCTAACTACGTTCATAACATTCGCAAATGAGGACCGGCAAACCTTCATGATGCAGATGCAACGCTCCAACCAGGAGCAACTAGACCACAGGTTCGATCAGTTCCAGCGCGAAATAACCACTATATTTGAAGCCCAGCGCAACAACCAACCTACAGGTAGCGTTCTTGGACCAGGTCCAACACGTACAGATCCGAACCGGCCAAAACCGGTCCGCCTTGTATTCCCTCGGTTTGCCCAGGGAGACCCTACAGACTGGTTATTCGCAGTGGACCAGTATTTTGAATATTAGTGGACCAGTATTTTGAATATTATTCAATCACAGAACCGGAGAAGCTCCGTCTGGCCGCCTTCCACCTAGATCCACCAGCCTTAAGCTGGTACCGCAATCTGTCCCGCGAGGGACTAATTGCAACCTGGAGAGACTTTCAGACAGACATAATCAGCAGGTATGGCCCAACAGTTTATGAGGATCCAACAGGAGCATTATGCCGGCTGACCCAAACAGGATCGGTCCGTGAATACCAAGCAACATTCGAAACTATGTCAAGTAAAGTACACGGCATAACGGACGGCCTTCGAAAAAGCATGTTTATCTCGGGGCTAAAACCAAAGGTGCGTAGTGATGTTCAAGCACATTTACCCGAGACTGTTTGACAATTTTCTTATCTCCCTCTCTTCCCAATCCTCCCTGATTCGTTCTTTCTCCTACTTCCCCTTCATCCTCCTACACCGCACTTGATCAATATATGGAAACTTGCTGCAAAAATGGTTTTGACAACACATTAATTTTTAAATTTTTTGTTTTGAATCCCTTTTACCACACTTTTTTTGTTAATTTTCTGCTTTTTTTTTTTTCTTTTGATAAGCTTCCATTTTTGTTAAGTGATCAAGTAAATTTCTATTCTATAAGTACCTCTTAATACATGATATACATTGAATTGGATAGCTTTTGCAGCAAACGTCAAAGTTAAAATAACCGGAAGAACTATTTCGAAAAGGAATTTTTTAGTATTTACATTAATAAAATAAATAAATTTATTGCTGGTGACCAAAAAATTTATATTAGATTAATTAGCAATTTTTTATGCAAGTAAAATAAGAGTACAATGAGCAAGTTAATTCAATTATTAATGGTGTTAAAGATGAACTTGAATAAAAAAACCATAAAAAGATAAGTGATAGAAAAAAATAAACGTAGAAGGTTATGTGATAAAAAAAGTATACTACAAACAAATTTTTTGAACTTTTCCCATTTTTTAACACATGGCAAACCAAGCCCAGAAGGCGTCTCAAGATACGACTGCTGCTTCTTCGAGTGACTTGTGCATTCGAAATGATTCATACCATGACACTCTGTAGCGTAAACATGTTAAGAGTTACAGGCATTGTTTCAAGTAGCGGATGATATTCAAAACTGACGGCCAACAACATGATCTAGAACAGTTCATCGTGGCATTTATATTAGTATATATACGTGCGTGCAAGCAATGCGGTGATATTAAAGTTGTTTACAAAATATGCATGATTCTTTGGAAGATGGATCTTTTAAGACCAGAGTCAATGCCACGTTAATTATCAGCCCATTGCCAAGTTATTTCTTAGACAGTGCACACTTGCTTGAGGAATGCAATTCTGATTTCTCTTTAGTGACTGCAATCATTTTCATCTGCGTGCAATCTTGTTAGGTCTCCCACATTAATTATATAGACAATTAGTGTGAAATTTATAAAATCTTGGAGATTCTCACCCTTGCAACTAACTTTTAGAATGATGATCTCATAGGTCCTTATCATTTGATGCTTTTATTGAGAGTCGGATCGCGGAAAGGGCTACCTGATAAGTGGATGAAGCCACCCAAAGAGGAAAAGGGCTACAACGGATCAAAGTGAAAGCCGCCGTGGACATCCAGACTTATCCGGCCTTAAAAAGGGGATGGCAATGTTAGGAATCCCACATTAATTATATAGACAATTAGTGCGAGATTTATAAGGCCTTGAATACTTCCACCCAAAGCTAGCTTTTGGAGTGATAATTCCATGACTCCCTATCACCACCCTACCAAACATGATACATTATGTCGCTAACAATTCTTAAAAAGTAATTATCATATAGTTCATAGTGACTTATCAAGGCTATAAATTATTATACAAAACGATATAGGTGTTGAACTCTTGATGGATTGCTACTGAATATATACTCAACTATAGTCGGGTATACTCAGAATCACATGTTGATAGAGTAGGATGACTGGATATCAGCCCTCCACTTTAGGACGCCAACCTTCAATAATATCCTGTGGTTGTGCACGTGTTTTAATGAATGATTCCCTCGAGAAAATAGCCTGTACATTCAGCATTATTAGCTATAAGTAAGCTGAAACAAAAGAATTTTCACAGCATTATTAACTACAGCAAACAACAAACTCAAACAAAAGAATTTCTATTGCATCAGGGGTCAATGATCTGTCGACCTGACATTAAACAGTCAATTAGTGAAATTCATAGTAGAAATTAACCCCATGATTATTATAAACATCAGTAAATTTTAGCAAAAACATTTTATTAGTGTAATACTCCAAGTTGGCTTACAATACTGCGTCAATATTTTAACTTTTACAGCGCTCCTACAGTCTCATTGCTATTAGTAAACATTCAACCACAAGAAAATTTTGGCATGCAGAAGCCGAAGCATATTACTTAGTGGAAACATTTGAATTTTGAGCTCTGATGAAATTCCGAATTCAGGTCTTTGTTAGTATTGATAAACATTCACTCAATCAATAGCATATGATTTTTCAACATGGACAATGCAAAATAGCTTTAGACATGATGACCAAAAATTTAATAAACAATTGGTGTTTGTGAAACTTTGTCAGAATAAATATGGGTCTAAGGAAGGAGCCTGCATACAATTCTAGATTCTAAAACTGCTTTGAGAAGGCTCATCTTGAACATACCTTCATGTAAGACTTCAAAAAGGTAAGTGAATCAGGTACAGCCCATTTCTTATAATGCCCCAAAGCAATCTCCAAATGGTGTAGCTTTGGTCCAAGCGACAGGTCTGCTGCAGATATGTCTTTCCCATTGACAAAAGGACCCTATTAAAGGGGAAAAGAACAGTCAATTAAATAAAAAAAAGTAGGTTTCCTGCAATTTGTTAAATTGCAGAGACTTAGGGTGTGTTTGAATGTGTTTTTGTTTTTTTGTTTTTAAAAACTGTTTTGAAGATAAATTTTGAAAACTGATTTTGAGAGTAAAAAAACAATAAAACTGGTTTGAATATAGTTAGTTTTAAAATTATAAAGAAGTTGTAGTTATTTACAAAAATGCCATTAATGAATCCTCAAATTTACAAAATTGCCACCGTAAAATAATTGAAAATAAAAATAAAAATCCATTTAATTACGAAAATGCCATTAATGAAACCCCATAATTACAGAAATGCCACCGCACAAATCAGAAAACAAGAAACTGCTTTGGAAAACATCCTGTACCTGTTTTGCTTTTTCCGTTTTTAAAACAAGAAAACAGTCATTGTTTTTAGAACAGATCCGACGAAAAACTCTTTCCAAACAAATTTTTTTGTTTTATTGTTTTTAAAAATTTAAAAACTGTTCTGGGAAGAGAAATCAAACAGAGCCTTAATATCGTACCAAATAAGGCCCACTCCCCGAACATAAAAAAAAAGACTCAGGCATAATCCAGAAAGATTAAAAAAAGAAAAAAGAAAAAAAAAGTGCCCTACAAGCTGTGAAGTGTAAACATATAAACGTCTTGGACCAATTTCTCCATAATCACTAATAGATAACCTGAAAGATATTATGGGAGTTCTTGTGCCCATAAATTAGTCAGAAAGCTTGTCTCCTTATCTTCATCTAGGTCATGGAAATGCCAAGCAGAGTTTTCGATAGAGAATACAAAAGATATTATTGGAAAAAATTGACAGAATCACGAGGTAAACAATCTTTGTTAAGAAATTACTTCAACAACACATGCAACAAAACAAAATCAAAGCATGGAAGAAACACAAATCTGAGTGCATGCAAAGAAATCTGAGCCCAACAAACACACATGGTTGCCTTAAGACATTTCCTTTTCCTCCCTCTACGATGCCCAAGAATAATGGACATTTGTCTACCGGGATAAGACAGATTCTTGTGTGGTGGAACTTTCACGATAAGAGACCATTTAATATGTCAGATATGCATGGAAAATGAGGATGCAAAAAACCAAACAAGAAATTCAGAAACAGAAAATTTCCTAATTCCCCATTTTTATAAGACTCGAAAAGTCACAATTGGAAGAACAATCATTCGGCAATGAAAAGCCACGAAGTAGCTGGTTGTGTTGATCATTTGGTGCAGAAAATCAAACATAATAATAAAAAAATTATTTCTAGGCAAGCGGGCGGGCGACATACTATGCCGAGGCAGCCAGATGGCAGCATGCATGTGGAGAGTCTTGAGTTACTCAAGACCTCCCATCCATGCACAAAAGTGGGTATTCCTTGAGACTCAACCCAAGGAACGTATGAGGTTTCTTATAAACATTCATTCATCTCCTTACTTGTCCAAAGAAGGACTTCTTCCCAGAAGCCCCCTCATTTTCCCAATTTCTTATTCATAAGATAAGAAAAATGCCAAAAGATATTAGCTTATAGCACCACCTACTAGATTGGAATCAGGCAAGGATGCCTAGTTTAGGAGGTTTAAGTTCAGGGCAGCACGCTCTACATTAGATCAACAGTTCTGGGCTAATTGGTCCCTAAGTTTTGACCAGTCATAACTAGGTGATGTAATTAGAAATCATAGAACCAATGAATGGATTTATTTTCAAACAGAGATCTTACTATCAAAAAGAAGATTTCAAAAAACCCCTATGAAAGACACCCGTAATGTCTAAGAAACCGAGTCGTTACCCCTATGTTATCTCCTCAAATAGCTTATTTTTCTCTGATTTACTAATTTGCTCAGATCTACAATTCTTGACAGACTGCATTAAAAATTCATCCAAACAAAACTCTAGTTGACTCTTGGTTTTATTTTTCCTAGAAACTATAAACCTCAAAATTAGTAGATTCAGTTCACAGCTCTAAAACAGCACCCCAAATAAATATTTGAGAGCTGAACTACAAAAGTCCAGCATAAAAAAGCAAGGGGAAGAACAGGGGAGAAAGGCCATATGATAAAATGCATCCGAAGTTTATGCTTTTCCTTACAACATCTCAATTCTGTATAAAATGAGTATACAGAATAAAAAGGTTAATGAAATCTCATTTTAACATAGGTATACCAGCATGGGTACTTCACAATTCACACTTCACCATTTAGCTTAAACCTTAACAGGGTTGAAGTATAAATTTTGGCTCAGAAAGGGGAACCATATAAGTAAGGATAATGATTTGTGTGAAAAAGAGGTTTTATCACCAAATCAACAACCTAATCAAGATTGCAAATAAATAGCGGAGAGACAAAAGCAGAAAAAAGTCGTACATTTTCCTTGAGGTAATCATTGAAAGAGCTCAGTTCACTTAGTAATGCTTGCTCTGTTCCGTCATTGGGATCTTTGCTCTTGAGAAATCCAATAAATGTTGAAAAGATCTTTGACCCACTACACACAATAACACATGCATACATTAGATAATTGAAGTACATTAATATAGCCATGTAAACATTAAAGAATATAAAGCTGACATGGAGAAGAAGGAAAACTAAAAGGGGAAATAAATAAAAGCGGACAAAGAAAGAAACTGTTTAAGCTTGTATAATTACATCACCGTGCATTTTTCTAAAAATTCAAAGTCATGTACCATTAAGCATGACAACCAGATTTATAGCCTAAAAGTATCTTCTAATGATGAGGAAATCTATAAGCCAGATGCATACACTGTAGCCTTTTCAGGTGGGGTCCCCAATGGTGGGCTAGGAAACTTCTCTTCCAGTGTTTGTGTGATAACATCTGAATCTGGAACCCACTTCTCATCGAGCTTTATCACAGGAACTTTACCCTCAGGACTGATTTTAAGGAACCTAAACCAGCAAAACAAATGATAAGGAAAGGAACTACTAAATTAGCATGAGGACCAGACAAGTTGTGGTCTGTAAGTGATTCAGTTATATAAAAATAGCAACTATAAAAGACAAGATAAAAACTTATAGCCGAAAGAAATAGACCAGAAGATCACCATTCTGGCTTGCTGGTCAAATCCACCAACTTTGGGTCATAAGGTAGATGTTTTTCCTCCAGTGTCAACAATACCCTTTGGCAAAAAGGGCCTGAAAATACAATTCAAAGACGAGTCACTAATTTAAAATTGGTACTCTGAGTTCAAAGCTCAAATACAAACACAATTTTTTTTCTTGAATAGAGGATATATTCATAATTAACTCTACAAGTCTATATAATTTCAGGACAAAGGCTATTTTGCCATATCTCCTTCCTAGAATTGAAACAAAACACATGAAATTCCAATTCCCGCTTTCAAAACATAAGAAATCACTGAATCTCTTCTACTAATGTATACACTTAGGGCATGTTTGGTGTACATGATAGGATAAGGCTTGATAGTATAAGGCCTGATTAAATTTTAATACTATTCAGCGTTTGGCATGGTATTGTATAAGATAATGTATTGTATAAGATAATACTACCCAGTACTTGATAATGTACTGTATAATACTAGATAAGATAAAAATAAATATTTTTGACAAAAATACTCTTTAATAAAGAATTTATATAATTCTTCCAAATATCTAATATGATATTAATTTTTATAAAAATCTATTGTATTTCTATAATTTGATAGAAAATATTTCTATATTCCCTACAGTGCTGATTAAACAAATTATACAAAAGTCACAATAGAATACATACGTGAAACATAAACGTATATAATAACTTTCAACAAATTAAAATATAAAAGTACATAACTTTAAGGTACAATTTAAATTTAAATACAAAAGATACCCAGTCATCATAACATTACATATTACAGCATCCTTATTCCCCAACCTTTCAAATATTTTTCTAGCTTTAGTTACATCAAATTTAGAGTATAGATCAACCAAAGCAGTACTAGCCACAAGATCAGGTTCTACCCCCATTTGGATCATGTATCCATGGATACTCTTTCCTTCACATAAATAATTCAAGTTGGCACGAGACAGAATGCATTGGCTAAGGTTAACAAATCATCTTTCTATGCATCATTTGGCAAAAAGGGCCAAAAGCTTCTAAAGCCTGTCCATTATGAAGATAAGCTGTTATCAAAGTGTTCCAAGAACCAACCGTTGTAGTATCCATCTTGCCAAAAATAGAGTCAGCCATCATTAAATCCCCACATTTATGATACATGTCGAGGATGGCTGTCTCAAAAATCTCATCCAGCAAGCCAATTCCTTTTCTAATGGCATAGCCATGGATTGCACGACCCTCTTGCAGGGATCCCAATTTCACTGCTGTATGCAGCAAGCTCACTAATGTTACTCGATTGGGATGCAGTTGTTGCTCCTACATTGAGTAAGCAATTCGAAAGGCCCCATAAGCACATGAACACCCACAGTGAGCATAGGCAGTAATCATGGACGTATAAGGCACAAGATCTTTGTTGGTAATTTCATCAAACGCCTTATATGCATCCTCAATTTTCCCATATTGGGAATACAACCGAATGAGAGAAGAACCCACAAAACAATCAGAGTTCAAATTAAGCCTTAAGGAATCAACATGGACCCCTCTTCCACATTCAAACCTCCCTAAAGCAACACAACTTTTCAGACAAAACGTAATGGTTGAGCCATACAAACCAAATTTCCATTGCTTCAAATCCAAATACCAATGGAGAACCTCACCCTAGTGACCATTCCTAAAATACCCTGCAAGTACGGAAAGGATTTCATGTGTTGCTATAGAGAAATTGAACAACATCTATTCTATTGTGTGTTCCAAATCCTCTCTCTCTCTCTCTTGTCCCCGCCAAGCTTCTCAAGTATGTCGATCGTCGATCGCAAGGTCGACTAGTCCGTCACCGAGTTGGACCGCCAAGTCCCCACCAACATTGTCTCTGAAGCCTGCCGCACCGGCGTGGTTGACGTTGCCTCCATTAAATGGGGGAAGGGGAAGAAAAGGGATGAAGAAGGAAAAGGAGTAGAAGGGGAAAGGAGGGATTAACCTAATACATCAATACCTTATCAGGTTTAATCGCACCCTCCTAGACCTGATTGAGTTATACATCATTAAACTTATACTATACATGGTCACACCAAACAACTGAAAATTTCATAATATATAGTATAAATTTATACTATGACGTCTTATACATCATACCAAACAGGCCCTTCATCTAATAAAAACATGATAGACTAAAAATGCATGTGGACACAATACAAGTCTAGATACATCCTGATTTTTGTCCTTCCATCTTTGCTCCTAAGCCCTAACCATGGCATGAATATCATATCATACCCACATGTCTCTATTTCTATCTATCTATCTACAACATAAACCACTTAAATATCATTTAAATTTCAATTTTCACTGAAGAAACCAAAGACAAGCTTAACATTTTTTTTTTAAAAAAGAAACAGCGTAAAGAGTAAAGTATTATTACAGTCTCCAATCGTATTGGGTGTGGTGACAGAAGCTTTGACGGCGATTTCGAAGGGTTGGGAAGTAGGAACGGAAGACATTGAAACCCTGAGAGGTTTCTTCCTAAGGGTTCTGAAACTGAAATGGTTGTTGGTTGAAACGACGGCGTTGGGGCGGAGGAGAAGGTGGTTGACGGTGGCGGAGAGGGAGGCGCACGCCGAAACTTGAATTCTGACGGTGGACATTGCCAGCGTCTAAGGCTTGTTCTGTATTTAGCTTCGAATGGAGAAGCTGATGAGGTTGCGTTTAGTTTCCACATTCTTTACGTGTCACTTTTCTACGTAGCCAAGGAATTATTTTATTTTACTTTTAAAAACAAAAATCAAAATTTGAATGTATCGCCTATAAAAAAATGTGGAATTTCTTATTAAAAATATAATTAATTTTGGGATTTTGTTAAGTGAAAATATAAACATTTTAAATCTTGAAAATTAAAAATTATTTTATTATTTATGTAATTAAAATAAGAGAAAAATATTTGTCATTTTAAATGACATAAAGTTATATTATTTTAAGAGAGATAGACACAAAATATAATTTTTTTATAAATTAAATTAAAAAGAAACACTCACTTTCTCTCTCATGATTTTCATTCCTTATGTCTATCTCTCTCCTAAAATGACATAATTTATATCATTTAAAATAATAAACATCAAACCCTTAAAATAAATAATAAGTATTATTTTTATTACTTAAAAATTGCCATAAGGACATATGTAAATAAAATCTTATATTTTTTTTATTATATTTCAAAAATAAGATTTGATTTTGAGGGTTTTTGACCCTTTTGCCCCTAATTAAATAATTAATAACCAATTTGCCCCTCCCCAGAACTATCCATCATCCTGCCCTCATTTAGTCGATTATGTTGCACTTTTAATCGACTAAATGGGCTAAACTCAGAAATTATAAAACGCGAATTTTAGTCGACTAAAAACTCATCTTAATCGACTAAATTGTTTGCACTTTTAGTCGACTAAGCACATTATTTAGTCGACTAAATGTCGCAGATCAGGTTTTTTAAAAAACCCCTCATTTCGCAAAGGGGGTTATTTTCAAACCCTAATCGACTAAAAGGCTGCATTATGTCCCCTCTCTCCAACCAAGTCCGAATCTCAACCCTTGAAGGTGCGATTGAAGCTTCCTTGGTTCACACTTGCGAAATCGACATTTAGGTAACGTATTCTGACTTGCATTTGGTTTTAAGTTTAGTTTTTTTTTTGGTTTTCTTCATGCATTTGATTTGTGTTTGCGGTTTTGTGGATTTAGGTTTGGGGTAGGGTGCTAAGTGTGTTGTGAGGGTGAGGGTTAGGGTTGATGTGGTGCCTTAGGCTTAGGGTTAGGGTTAGGGTTAGGGTTAGGGTTTACGTTGCTGTTTTGTTTGGGTTGTAGTGTTTAGGGTTAGGAATGGGTTTTTGTGTTCTGTTTTAGGGTGTAGGGTAAGGGTTAGGGTTAGGGTTAGGGTTGAGGGTTAGGGTTTCTGTTTCTGTTTTAGGGTTAGGGATTGGGTTTCTGATTTCTGTTTTATTTTAGGATTAGGTTTTGTTTTTTATATTGAATTTTAAATTTTTTGATATTGTTATTGTTCATTGATTTTTGTTTCCACTTGCATTGTAGGTACAGTTGTTCCCATGGCTGGCCGTAGAAGATCGTCTAGCACTGGAAATGAGAGATGACAAAAGCTACAACAAGACCATCCGTCTTCGTCAAGGCCACAAGAGGAAGACCCCGCTGCTATGGACCTCCCATTCGGATACTTGTTCGAGAATGACCCGGTGGTTCATGAATCTTTTGTCCGTGACTTTGTTAACCGACCGATTTGTGGGGCCAAATCACTTGATACAGCCTTTTTTGAACAAGAAGGTTTTAACATTGTGAGGTGGTTGGAGGAATCATATCTTAGGACCTTGGCTGAACTGTCGTGTTCATATTCTGAGCTGCATGTACGGGCCTTCTACCATAATCTCAACTACCATCACGGTGAGCTGAGGTCTAGGGTCTGCGGGGTGGACATCATCATGACGGCTCCGGTATGGTTGGAGTTACTGGGGTATGACTTTGATTCTGCGCAGACTGTGGAATATGACGCAGACAGCGGGACCATACTTCCAGGATATACACGCGGTGATGCCGTGCAGGAGCAGAGGAGAGTCTGTGGGCAACACATTGCCTATACGGTGGGGTTGCTTACTGTGGAGTCCCGCATACTACACTATGTCATCACCCACATTTTGTTTCCGCGAGCGTTCAATCATTCCAGGGTGTTGGAGCATGACATTGCCATCATGTGGGCTATCCGACATGGTACTTCGGTGAACTGGAGGCACTACGTGTGTTGGATGATGTATAAGGCCAAACACAAGGGTGCACTTCCATTTGCTTGTCTTGTTCAGAGGATATTGGAGCATTTTGATGTTCCCATGGGTAATGTGACCTTGAAGAAGACCACAGGGTATAATCATAAGTTTGGAAAACGTCTACTGGAGCAGTGCAAGATGACAAAGAACCCCCAAACAGGAGTGTGGCAATTCACAAGTGCGGCTGATGTTGAGGTTCCTGATGTTGCTCCAGTTGTAGACATGGTTGACCCCGAGGTGGAGGATGATGATGACGATGATGATGAGGGTGACCAGCAGGAGATAGCTGAGCCTGAGGGTGGGTTTTCATTACGTGATGTCATGAAGGGCATAAACGCCACGCTGAAGAAAATAGGAAAAATGGCGCTGAAACACAAAAAATGGAGGAAGAGTCACGTGCAGAAGGGAAATGAAAGATTTAGACATATACAGGGACGGTTCAAGGGTGTTGAAGATAGGCTTGCTCGTCTAGAGCTTGGACGAGGACAGCAGATTGAGGATGTTGCAGGGCAGGGGGCTGATGTGTCACAACACTGATCCGTATCAATCTTGAACACAGAACCAGGATTTATCTGTGTCATGTAGTTCAGCCAACCAGGTAAGATGGCATATGATTTTTCTCAGTCGCCAAACAACTTCATAATGGCCTTCATTTTAGCCTTCCAAGCCTTCCTATAAGATATGTTGTATCCATACAAACTTTGTACCCTCTCCTGAATAAGAACTGGTTTCGTGGATGGATCTTCTTTTAACATACCTACACAAAATTCGAAGTCAACACAATCAATAAATATACCGAAAAATTAAACCATAAACAAAAATGAATGTAATACATACTTATAATGGCTGCACAGATTACATCAGAATCCAGCTGTCTATGGTCCCGAGTAAGGCCTTGGTTTAGGCAGGTGTGTTTTTTACCCCACTTACTAACAACCCAACTATTTCCATTCTTGGGCAACATAGCCCGCACGTACCAGGGACAACCATCATTATGGTGTCGACACTTCATCACAAATCTATGGTCATCACTTTTTGCCACCACAGCAGTACGATGAGACTTCATACAATATAATTTGACAGCATGTTGCATTTCAGATTTAGTTCGAAACTCATGGTACAAATATAATGGATCTCCTAAATGCCAGCCACCGTGGATGTCATCGTCGCCATACAATATCTCCGTCTCATCATTAGGGTGAGCCCAATTAATGAACGAACAGTGTGGGCTGTCGTTCCAAAATGGCTCAATCTCAGACCCTACGTCCAAATTTAAACTTATCCGTCAGTACGAAAGAAAACACAAATATATATATATATATATATATATATATATATATATGCAAAATTAAAACTTTATATTACAATCTTACCACTGCTAACAGGGTCAACACAGAGCGGTGGCATAACCTGGGAACTCAAGTTTCCTGAACTAGTATCAGCGTCAAAATTCCCCTCTACGTCCGTATCTGAGGTGTCACCCAGCGGAATAACACTCTCGGGTTCACCATCGTCTTCACTGTCCATATCCTCGTCATGCCCATCCTCATCCTCGTCTATTTCCCTCAGTTGTATCTGACTTAAGACAGGTGCAGGAGCAGATAAACCGACCACTCTGTCTTCTTGACTTTGACTTCTTCCATGCACAGGTGCAGATGAAGATTGACCACAGTCTATTTCAACATATATCTCAATAAAGTTTTGAAATTTTCGGTCCACAATTGCATCTATGACACAATCCACATCTTCATCGTCACATATATCATTACCAATGTAGAATATAGCATCCTTACCAACTGTAGAATCTACCCTGGCGATCATCCGTTGAACGCCATGGCTCCCGTGTAGCCCCAATTTTTGGTTAATCCTCCCATTCAGCTCATTGTACGTAGTGCCCCGTTTGATTTTCAACATTTTCGTTTTTCCTTCAAATTGAACACCGTTGGGGCCTTCGTAATGCCTTCCAGCATAGTAAATCATGGTAACATACATGTTTGGACTTGAGCTCATCTTTCACACGAATTTTGGGGGTAGGAATCAGATTTTAGGGGTTAGGGTTCAGATTTGGGGGAAACAATTGAGAAATAAAGGAAAATGACAATGATTTCACAATTACTATGTCTTAGAGGTGGTGGGATGAAATGGAAGGGTGATTGGAAGGTTCCCAGCTGACAAACAAGAGAAAGAGACCAAGAGAGAAGTTTTGATTTCGAATATTTTGAAAATGAGCCCAAGAGAGGTCTGGATATAGGGTTTTTCGCGATCTTTAGTCGACTAAATAATGTGCTTAGTCGACTAAAAGTGCAAACAATTTAGTCGATTAAGATGAGTTTTTAGTCGACTAAAATTCGCGTTTCATAATTTCTGAGTTTAGCCCATTTAGTCGATTAAAAGTGCAACATAATCGACTAAATGAGGGCAGGATGGTGGATAGTTCTGGGGGAGGGGCAAATTGGTTATTAATTATTTAATTAGGGGCAAAATGGTCAAAAACCCTTGATTTTGATCTATAACCCCTTTCAAATTTCCTTTTGAAAAATAGTAATTGCTGAGAGGGATCTTAATCAAGACATTATGTGAAAGGTTAGTTCCACAATAAAAGATCATAATTAAAAGATTCCATAAGTTGACAATTATTTTAATAAAAAAAATTAGGGAATTTTTTTTTTATATTTTAAAGAATAAAACTTTGTATCATTTTAATTGAAACAATCGTGTTTTAATATGTATTTATTGTCTCTCTTCTCCACAAAATTAGTATGAATAAAAAAATGTGAGTATTCTTAAAGAGAGATAATGTAAAATATCAATAAATATACACCAAAATACAATTGTTTCACTTAAAATAATATAAAATTACGTCTAATAAAATGAAATTA